TATTGTTTTATAAATAAACCTGGAGCGTCACTTTAAAACAAAATGTGTCCTCTATACGTTTGAAGTAATAAGGATGTTGGATAAAAATAAATCCAGTGATCTTTTTGAAATATAATTTCTTGGCAGACACAGTGTGTATATAGTCCGCCCCAAAAATGTATACACTTTTCAGGAAAGGAAAAACATGTCTTTTGTAGTTTTTAGACTTTTACCTATGCGAGGGGGAGGGCTTAAAGGATGTTGGATTTCGCTGAAAACTTATTAAGCAGTAGTTCGCCATACTAATAAATGTCTGGAAACTGAAGGCCACAATTTTGAGCATTAAATTTTAGTGTTCAAACATTACTTTATTAAGATCTTAATGCCTGAATAAACTTAGTATTACAATATATATAAAAGTTTTTCCTTTCCTGAAGTGTGTATACAGTTTTTGGCGGATTCCGATTCTCATTCTCTAATTCTCTCTCTCTCTCTCTCTCTCTCTCACTCTCTCTCTTCCTCTCTCCCTCTCTCTCTCTTTCTCTCACTCTCTCTCTATCTCACTCTTTCTCTCACTCTCTCTCTCTCTCGTGACGTTAGCTCAGTTGTAGAAACTCTGACTGACATTAAACTGGTTGGGTTTCAATCCTAGCTTGAGGCGTTCGGTTGTCTAGTCGCAATGAAGAGCTGTGATAGAGCGAAACAGTACTGTCTGCGAATGACATATTTTAGCTCTTGAAAATATATTTTCAATTGAACACTGTTGAATGACAAGCTAATTCTAAAAAAAAAACAGCCACCTGCGCTAATGCAAAGCTCTTCAGCAAAATGAATGGAGCACTCTGGCTGGTTGGCGCTTGTTTACATTTGTAAAAACGATACGCTAGATTAGGCTGACACGTTTGTCGAATGACGATAGCACAGTGGTAGAGACTCTGACTGACACATGAAAAAGGCCGGAGCGTACAACGGCCGAAACGTTGTAATAAATATAGTGACAAAGATGAGGACAATAGTCCGAATAATGTAAATAGTGTACATAATACTTCATCTCAGAAATATAGACAGATATTGAAAGGCCGAAACGTTGTAATAAATATGGTGACAAAGATGAGGACAATAGTCCGAATAATGTAAATAATGTACATAACACCTCATCTCAGAAATATATAAAATTTTAATAACGTTAGATAATCATTTCCCCTTCCATAGATATGGCTGATGGCAACCTCTTAGAGAGCAAATCATTTGGCCTTATTGGGCTCATATTTCAGCTGATATGAAGTAGAGCGATAATATTGAATCAATTGCTAGATCAGAAGCTAGGAAAGTTGGTTCACTGTGATGTGCCAGACAATTTTTATCTAACGTCTGTAATCTCTTTTTTTGTTCATGCTTTGAATTCTGCTGCCACTTCTGGTCAGGTGCTGCTGTTATATACCTGGGGATTCTTGTCAAAATCCACTGAAGAATCTGTAAACTTACTGGATCTGACCTGGCATCTTGGCTTCAGGCACGTTACCACCGCCGTAACGGGGCTTCCCTATGATTTTATATACATATTTTAATGGCAATAGTTCTAATGGGCTTTCTACGACCTCATAAATTTCAACTCATTATTGATTAGTAAGTAGTTCTGTTGAAATTGATATATGTAACCACAATTTCTTTTCTTCTCTTATACGTCTCACCTCTGAATCTCTCTTCCAGATTCTTGCTTTTCTGTCAATTACGATCTACAAATATTTGAATGAAACATCTTGTTCTTTTATTGTCCTTTTTACTCAATAATGTTTTCTTATTTTTTTTTTTTTCACTATCAGCAAATCTTTGCTTCTTATAGACTTCATTGACTTGCTTGGGACGAAATAATTAAAAAATCCTGTAGCTATGTGTAAGATAATTTGAAATAAAATGTTGAATTATTGAAGTTAAACTCGTGAATCTCAAACTGGAGTAACATACAAGGGGATGAATGAGATTTTGAATGAAATAGTAAATATTTAAATGAAGTGAATAAATCGGTAACGAATTTCAGTTAAATTTATGTCGTTGCCTAAAGTGCTGTGGGTGGTACACCCGTGGGCAAATGGTCCGAAATCAGAGAAGTGTAAGGCGCGGTTCCTTTCACCAATCTTATGTTTAATCGAACCATTGGACTAAGCCCAAGAAGTTCATTATTTTCTGTTGTGGCTCGAAGTAACTTCGAATTGAGGTGGATTTGTTTTACCTTCTGCTAACCTTTGTCTAAAGGGGTAGGATATACAAGGTGGTCGTCTCAGATTCGTTTGAATTCAGAACATCTTTCTCCTAGACTTGTCCACCAAACATGGCTATAGCACCCACTCTTTACTGCTATTTTTCGTATAACTGGGGGTGTGGGGAGAAGAGATGAATTCATACCTTTCCCAACGGAACTCGACTGAAATTTGACCTTGTCTCGAAGAGTCCTCAATTCGAGCAATTAACCATTATTCCAGTTATAACTTTATGTCTAAATAAATAATTATGACAATTTAAAATAAGGGGAACTGATATTTTCTTTTTTTTGAAGAGGGAAATCTATATTCTATCTGCCGTAAAATTGTTTAATAATGTTCTAAGTATTTCTTGAATATATATATATATATATATATATATATATATATATATATATATATAACAGTTTTAAGTTTGAGATAAATATAGGATGTCGCCGTTGTAATGAAAATGGAATGGTAACTGATTTCAGAAGACGTTCTACGAAGTTCCTTTTCTTCAAGTGATCTCTGATTCTGCTATGAAGATACAGAAAAAAAGAACAATTATTTATGATATTTTCACTTTAAAAATGACTCTGATTAACAATAAACTGCTGCACAGAAACCACAGCGAAATCTGCCACACACACACACACACACACACACACACATATATATATATATATATATATATAACCCAATGGGTAAATGTAGTTAGGTATACGAGCGAGTGATCGTATAGAAATACATATAAATACTCTATAGTGTAAGAAAAAACAGTGCTCGACGTTAAGTAACAGAGCTATTTATTATATATATATTAAGTAATATGCATGATATCTCCGAGTTTCATACCGAAGCAATTTTCAAGTCTGTGAATATTATATTTATTTTTATAAAATATAAATATAAATAAGTATTTCTAGTACTGGAAAATTGCTTCGGCTTTTTTTGTATCGAGAGTAACTCAGTCTGCCCACGACTCGGCCACTGGCCAATACTTGCTTAACAACCCAGACTGTGCCAACAAATATGTAACTAATTCTTTCACATTTTTCACAGAGCTTGGCCTGCTCATTATTTACACCTTCTTGAAGCGATCCACATTATGTTACATCAACCAACTCTGTGCAAACAAAAGGATTATTTCATTCGTTCCCTCAATCTTTTAGGAGATTCGTGAAGTTTTTAACATTTTATACTAACTCAGAACTACTTACGTTTATTATTCATAAATTCTTTTACGAATAAAGATTTTTTAATCATATTCCCCAATTTTACCTCCTCATTTTCTTTTTTTGTGTGAATTTTCCATACCTTTGTTCTCGTCATTAATTTTGCCAATGTTTTCCTTCTGATGAACTATTAGCTGAAAGAATTGCTTAAAGTAAAATACCATTGTGTATTTTTAAAACTCTTTTTATGTTTGGTAGTATTAAGTCCTTCTTCAAATTTTGATATATCAAGAACAATTTTTAGGAAATTGTATGAGAAAAGGGAAAATGTTTACTTGTGATATGTTTCATCCTTCAAGAATTCATTGAATCAAAGTGATGCAAAGAAAAGAAAGAAACACTAAATGAATTCGGTTAGATTTGTAATAAAAAATTGTAAAAATCTCCAGCACCCATCATGTGTAGCCGTACCAACATGGCATAACAAATTTTGTCTGATTAAGTCTTTCAGCACAAAACGCGTCACAAGAAAACATTTTCCACTGCGACACACACACACACACACACACACACACACACACACATATATATATATATATATATATATAGAGAGAGAGAGAGAGAAAAATTGATCTTCCGGGGTTTATAGCACGAAAGGCATATGTGTTTGTTCAACACCCACAGAGCCAAACTGTAGTTTTTTTTTTCTTTTACTACATTTTGTTGAGCGTACTTTATTTACAGATTCTAGGAGAGAGCACACTCATCTTTCGTGATCAGAAGATTAAACAAGACTACTACGCTCAACACCTCGGTCACGATCACTTGTGTCTTCATGCCGAACAATTCCGTGTACCCAATTTCATCTACAAGTCCGTCGTATGGTTTTTTGTTCACTCACCTTCCTGAGAAATCGACATGAACCTCATGGTCGGAAGGCGAATGTTCTAACCACTTGGCCACACGCCCACATACATATCTATGTAAACATGGCTGATATCGATACGCAACAAAAAGTTTTAAGATGATTGGTTATCGACCTTTTCATAGCCTCAAGGTTAATAAGAACTACAAAATAGAAAATACTCGTGGAAATATATCAAATATTACTGCCAATAATTCATCGGAAGCCTTCTGACATATGATATCTTAGAATGATTGAGATTTCACCTGTTTAAGACACAGCTTTACAGCAATAAGCCAACAATATCGGTTTGAGTGAAGGTCATGGTGACACTTCGACTAAAAATATTGCTTTAAGATGATTGAAGTGTTTCAAGAAAACCGATTTACGAAGGAAATAAAAAGTGAGTCTGAAAAAAGTCTAAAATTAAAGATAATAAAATATTGTTATTGTTGTAGGAGTGCGGTCATGGCTTACTGTAAAGAATCATTTAAAGAAAAAGTTTGAAGAAATATGAAGAGAATAAAAACATTAAGAAAAAGAAAAGTCAAACAAAAAAGACGAAAGGAAAATGTATTAAAAATACAAAGATCCTATGAGTTTTACAAGAAGACAAATGTAAAGATTCAATTGTAAAATACAGGCTTAAGAATGACGTCATTTTTATATTCAACAGTTAAAATGAAGAATATTAACAGTATTTCAAATAAGTATTTGAAATATTGGATAGATAGATAGACAGAAAATGACTGCGCTAGATAGATAGATAGATAGATAGATAGATAGATAGATAGATAGATAGATATGAACAGACAGCACCAGATAGATAGATAGATAGATAGATAGATAGATAGATAGATAGATAGATATAAAAATGACTGCGTCAGATAGATAGATAGATAGATAGATATGTAAAATTGAGATAGATGACTAGACTGATAAATTTAAAAAGAAAGCATTAAATAGATACTAGATTGACACATAGATATTAATAGAATTACACACACACACACAAACACACACACACATATATATATATATAGAGAGAGAGAGAGACAGACAGACAGAAAGAGGGAGAAGGGGAGAGAGACAGACATACCCACATGAAATATCTATTACAAATATGGCCAAGACGAGATTAGATATATTATGTATCTATGAACCGACTGAAATACACGATGAAAAATTAAATTTGCAAAAGACTGAAGGTTGATGGTAATTTTAATCTTGGTGTCATATATGCGTGCAGAAAATTTGGCAGGTCCTACAAATGTTAACCTTTCAGGACGAAACATTGTCAGTTGCCGGACTACTTCGCACAAATATATTTCGAAAGATATGAATTTCCCCATCATATATGGGTTAAATAGTAGGAAAAAGAGGGACCTCAGTCCGTGTCTCGCAACCAGTATAGGAGAGGAATAGTTCTGAATTCACAAAGCCGTTACCTAGAGCTGTAAAAAGATTGTTAGGCATGGGGTACAGATACTATATTTGCAAAACACGGTAGATTTCAACAATTATGGACATTCCAAACTGCAAAGCGATTATCCAGCTTGCCGGTAAGACCACTCGCCGCCGTGGCCTATTGAAGGTAGATCTTCGTAGGCCTATTTCGTCGATGGCGACGGTCAGCAGCGGAAAATAAACACAGCACCGCTAAAGTTAAAAAAACAACCAATGCACGATCAGCACGGTTTTTTTTTTGTCAACGTGTGCTGTAGTAAAATATTTTAGAGTTATCCACCGTGTGGCCATTTTCATCTAGTATAGCTCGCGCCAAAACAGCTGCTCTCCATCCCACCCGATCCCTGGTAGCCGCATTTCAGTTCGCAACATTAATAGAATATTCCATCATGAACGATTTACATTGAAGCGAAGTTTAGGTTGTCCGACAGTTTCGCATACATTATCTGCTTGGGAATTCTAGAGTTTTCTATGCGCACAACGTGCCTAAGTCACCTGAGATACAGAGACCACAAGATAGGATACATCCTATCTACATCTCTAAAGCGTTTGATAGGGTTTGGCATGCAGGCCTTCTTCGTAAGCTTCAGAGACACAGAATTTCAGGACGATTATTTGACTTAATACAATCATTCCTGTCAAACCGTGTAATGAAGGTAGTCCTTAACGGATTCTTGTCCAGTTAATTTCTCACGGATGCAGGTGTTCCTCAAGGCTCTATCCTGGACCCGACACTGTTTCTGATCTTCATTAACGATCTTCCCGATGTCATCAGTTCCCAAGTCGGCATCTATGCAGACGACATTACTGTTTACTCCTGCCTCAAAAGCAAGTCTGTTATCGATGACAAAAGTAACCTGGCCGTTGGTTTCGAAAAGGATCTCTGATCCTTTGTAGACTGGAGTAGCAATTGGCTGGTTAACTTTAATGCCTAAAAAACAAAACTGCTCTCTATTACTCACCAGAGGGAGCGATCTCTGTCTGCCTCCCATTAGAATGTCTGATGTTCAGCTGCACGAGAGCACCTCTTTGCGACTGCTTGGTTTCACACTGTCCACTGGATTTGGGACAAATACATTGAATCAATAGCTTCATCGACCGCTTGGAAATTCGAATCCCTGTGTTGCGCCAGAAAGTTTTTCTCGCTTCAGTTCATCCTTCAAATCTATAAATCAGTCATTCACTCTTGCATGGAATACTGCTGCCACATATGGTCTGGTGCCCCCGCAGTACGTCCCAAGGTACTCGTCAAAATCCAGAGACGGATATGCTATGGGATTGACCCTGATCTGGCATCTCGTTTACAGTCGCTTTCCTCTATCTTTTCTACAAATACTTTCACGGTAATTGCTCCGACGAACTACTTTCGCTGGTTCCCAAAGTGCATGAATTTAAGCGTGTTACTGGGTTGGAGGCACTGTGGAGTAATGGATAGCGGCTTGGATTGAGGAATCAGAGAGCCGAGTTCGAATTCCAGTCGAATCCATTACATTCACTTACGTGCTAATACCCTTGGGAAAGGTGTGAATCCTCTTCTTCTCCCTCCAGCTATGGGTAAATAGCAGGACAGACTGGGTTCTATAGCCTTGGATGGCAACTGGTCTAGGAGAAGGACAGCTTTGAATTCAAACCTGGAGTGGAGCCCCTAAGGCGGATGGACAGCACTTTGTGCTACCTTCCAGCAACTCCTGCAGCCGCGCTGGTACCAAACTGTATTGGTTTATCCTATCCTTTGGACTCTGCTAACAAGGCCGAGAGTGGGGAACTAGGCGTCCGGGCAGCCCTAGTTCTCCATATATCCCGCCCAAGGTCGTAGCGCTCCGCGCTAGTCCATCGTCTCTCGAGACGGACGGATGCCGATGACGACGACTAGGTAGGCATCTCGGGTCCACTCTCTCACTGTCAAAAGGGTTAAATGCAGCCGTCTCTTCTAATCCAATAGCTTTTCCTCCCTTCCTTTTACTTACTTCCCTGATAGCTATAATCTCCAACTATTCAAATGCAATGTCAATCGACATCTCCAAATGCCTTGATCTGTTCCCTGTCCTTATCTTCATTCTTTCCTCTATCACACATTTTTACTCTTGCTACCACTCTCTGTAACCCTTGCGTGCTAGTAGCACTCCCGCCTTGCTTGGTGTGAATACTTAAAAAAATGCTAGATAGATGGACTATATATGAATGCTGGGTGGTTGTAGGTATTCTGATAAAGTTTTCGGTCATTTGTTTTCTGTGGTAAAACATTATTCAGTGCTTCTGCGTTTTTTGACACTAACACTTCTTGAGATAAGGTTTAGTGTTGTAAAATAGTCAAGTGTAAGCTGGTGACATGAAAAAGAGATGACCACGTGTGCCTTTTATTCAATGAGCCCTAACTGAGATAAGTCATACTGATTTAGAACTTCGCTTTCATATTAGAGACAGTGTTTACATCAACATTCCTATCTCCACAGGTCATTTGAGATGACCACTTATTACAGATCCACGTCAATATCGATGAATTTTTTCTTCTCTATCAAGTATCTTTGCTTAATGCCAGAAAAGAAATCGATCATAAGGTTAATTTACATTTCTTTCTAGTATGGACATTATTATATCCGTGATATAACATTGTGGTTCACGGACAGGACAGAACGAAATGGCCGAAAGGAAAAAGAATGAAAAACATGCTTTGTTCTCATAAAGACTTTTATAATATTAAGATATACACAAATCTATATATTCATATATACACATATCCCTCACAGAACATTATATCATATATATATATACATATCTACACAGCAAAGCAGAGATTAAGGAAAAACAAGAAGGAAAGTTCTTAAATATCATACTGAGACACGTCTGTACCTGGAGAAGCTATTTTAGGGCTCCAGATTCAAACGGTCCGGATTCATCTATGTCCCAGGCAAGGACATATATCACGAACGGGAAACAACGAGTCTTAGGTTATCCCTAATTGGGGACTGCGAGCTGGAGTTTCATTCTGTATCCTGGAAAGATATATTCCCAAAAGGAAATAGCATCGTGCCTTGTAAGCTACAGGGGAGGCAGATTTAAACTCAGCCTCTGTCCTTTGTTCCGGGCTAAGAGAAAGCAACCTTACTTGATAGCTGCTGAAAAGGAACTGAAAAAAAAATGACCAGCGCTCTGGTCACTGAATGAAGTGACGTCATTAAGCGGTCGTTATGTGACCCATGTGACTTATCTCCGCCAAAGGGAGATGGGCGCCTTCCGAAAAAGGAAAAAGAGGGGAAAAGCTGTTTGTAATGAGTTGGTCGGTCAACTTGATACCCCCAAAGCGAGTGGAGGTGGGAAGGCACGGGAACTGTGATTGGTAGCTGGCTTGATGGTGTTTTGCATAGGTGAGTTACCAAGCACTATGTAAAGGGCTGGAATGAGAAGGAGGGCAGTTTCAGTCTCAGAAGTGGAGACTGTGTCCGTCGTTACGACAGCAGGAGAGAAAGAGACGAAATCATTTATTTTTTCGTGACACATTCCAACACACTACCAACCCTTGTGCTGAAAGAATACCGAAGAGTGTAAGTAACGAGTAAATTTTAATTAGAATGGAAGCAGACAAAAAGCGCAATATTTACACTATCTCTATTCGTAATATTGCCCTCATCACAACGTTTCGGCCGTTGTACTCTCCAAACTTCGTCAGGTGTATATCGATCTGGGTCAATTTTAGGGTATTCTTACCTGAAACATCTATTTAATCTGCCGATTTAGACTGTTCTCTTTCCACTGACCATATCTAGGGATATATCGTCTAGTTCTTATTTTTATTTAATAATATTCAGTTACTGTTCGCTGTTTCTATTTAGTTCAAGTACAACGTTGCCCAATACTTTAAGGTAACCCTTTCTTCACACTGTATGGTTGGAAGGAATTGAACCTGAGTTATTGTCCGGTGAAAGTTAGTTTGTGATATACGGAAATTTTGAACTCATTCCCTGTGCAATTTATTAGTAAATCCGTGCAGTCCTTACAACGGACGGGAAGTTGTGGAGAGCCATGAACACCCACACCCTTAAGGGTCACGGCACATAAAAATGGAAAGCACTTTCGCTGGGTCAGCCAGTGAGGGTTAGATTAATTCGGGCATAAGGCCATATATATGAGGCACCCAGTGCGAATCGATCTCACAACACAAAAATAATGAAGCGACAGTCAACATCTTGGTAATCCAAAACGACAAACTGATTGAGAGAGAACGAAAGAGATAGAAAAAGTAAGAGATAGAGTGGGAAATAGGGAGGAAGAATGAGAAAGAAAGAGAGGAAAACATTAAAAAAAAAAGGTAGAAAGAGAGGGAGAAAGTGAGAGATGGAAAGGGAGGGGACAAGAGAAGGGGAGAAAAAGATAGCAAAGAGAGATAGAGTGAGGGGAAAAATTGAAAGAGATCAAGAACGTGATAGAAAAAGGGACAAAAAAGGGAAGAGAGGAATATGTAAAGGGTTAAGAGAGAGATAAACAAAGAAAAGGAGAGAAGAAGCTTGAGGAAAAGAGGTAGAAAGACTGCGGTGGAAAAGGAAGAAAGAGATAGAAAGAATAGAAAGAGATAGCGAAATAGAGAGATGGAGAAAGAAAGAAAGAAAGAAAGAAAGAAAGAGTAAGACAGGGATTGTAAAAGGGAGAGAAAGAGAAAGAAAGTTTGAGGGTGAACGGGAGAAAGAGTGCGTCGGAAAAAGGAAGAAAGAGATGAAAAAGTGAGAGATAAGGAAAGAGAGAAAAGGAAAGCGAGAGATAAATTAAGAAAAGAGGGAAAGATAAAGACTAAAGCAGATATGACCAATCAAGCATAACTTGGTAGAGAGATATTAAAACTGATTGAACTCAATACAGACCTGATCGATACGTATTTTTGAACAGGGCGAAAGAGAAGAATGGCAGGAGATGTCTTCAAGCGACTCATGCCCTCAAGGAGCGCCGCCTCTAACAGATACTGTAAGAAAACAATCAAGGATTGGTCCGTCTATAAAAACGCTCCCATAGCTTATTTTTAATCGCGATCAACCCAAGCAAGGCAGTAAAGCCACTAAGACGCAAGGGGTTACTGGGCATGAAAGTAATAGAAAAGAGAAACATTAAGGAGCGAAAACAAAAGAAGTGTAATCAGGAGGATATTAGATAGCGACTGACATTGCATTTAAATTTTTGAAGATCAAAGTTGGCTGGAAAGCATGGAGCCGAACGGAGAAGGAAATTGTTAGCATAGAACTTAAAGTTACATAAGAGTCAACTCAACTGTAAATTGATGAAACCTCATCACCAGTTTAGTACTGTGCTTAAATTAAAAAGTCAAGGTACCATATTGAAGAGCTCATCTGAACAATTACAATGAAAGTATTTATAGAAAAGACACAGGGAGGCAATCTTATAGTTGAAGCCAAACTGCCAGGTCAGGATCAATAATATTGCTGATTCTTCTTTGGATCTTATCAAGGGTCTCTAGATTGATTGTTGGTTGTTTTGTTTTATGGCATATCAAAACCTCAGTAGGTCATTTTATGCCAACAAAATTTTTTAAATAGATTCATAGCTATAGTTTGGGAAAAATGGTGTGTATGAATACATATATATTTGAACCATTTTTCAATTACTCATATTTTTGAGTACAATCCAATTTCTTTTAGGAAATTTACAATCTTGGATAGTTTTATTTTTGTAAATTTTTTTTTTAAATTACTCACTTGGTAATATTTTGTTCGCACGATTTTGTATTCTGAGTTCCATTCCTCATTTTTTTTTTCAAAGAATGTATAGCTGTTTGTATTACTGGTATTTTTTAAGTATTGCTGACAATATTTTTTCCTTCATAAATTATTACTGGGTATAATTTTTTTTATAACAAAGTATTTCTGGTATTAAAACCTATTTTTACACAATTTTGGGTGTTAACTATTTGCCCATAGCTGGATCCCTAACAGGTGCTACCGCCCCGGGTCAGGGTGGACCCAAGAATACCAGCAATTAAGAGGTGGTTCTACGCTCCTCAAAACCTTCTGATCAGAGGCCTTGCTGTTGGACGTTACCCAGAAAGTAGATGTAGTTTAACGTCCTACCCAGGACGAGGTCTCTATATATAGCACAAGCACTCTACAATATGTGGCAGCAATATTATAAGAATGTCAGACTTATAGATATGTGAGATAGATTTTGCTAAGAGTAACTGTCTAGCACAGCGATTCTCAACGTGGCCAGGTGGACCACCGGTGGTTTACATAGCATTTCTAGTGGTCTATGGAGAATTCGTAGCTATAAAATTGTAGCCATTTCACAAAAATGTATCTAAATTATTCATACATTGAAGAATTAAAAAATATAATATTAGCAGAAGAATTAACAAAGAAGGAGTCTTTACCTACATATCGATAAAGGACTCACACCCAAATATTTTTAACATGTCAAAGCAAGCATCATTTCTTTTCCTACCACATGAATAGTGGAATCTGGATTTTTGGCTGTTGTGAAGGGTTTTAGTAGAAAAAGATATAAATTAAATCTCAACAGCAGAGGAACTATCTGTTGTGGCCTGTTTCGGGTGCCAGAAAGAAAGACACGGAAGGCGAATCTCGGTCGGAAAAAGTTTTTTGAAGATATATACATAGTTTTAGAAATAAGTGGATTAGCACCGCGTCTACTACTCCACTCCACACTCTGCGCACCCGTCCAACTCTCGCAGTTTGTATTTATGAGAGAAGGAAGAGTTCATTATACTGTGAGAGTGTTTACGACAACATTATCAAAGTAAGACTCAATAACATCATCAAAATTGATTATGATATCTTGCGTCAGAAACACAAAGATCAAGGTAGTCACTAGCTGAATGGACTAAGACTGAATCTCATCATCAAGATTGATTATGATATGTTGCGTCAGAAACACAAAGATCAAGGTAGTCACTAGCTGAATGGACTAAGACTGAATGACATCATCAAAATTGATTTTGATATCCTGTGTTTATTCTTGTTTATTGAAATAAATTTAAAAATATAAATAGACTACTTTGTCTTTTCATTGAGTATTTTAGTGTGAAAATTGAACAGCCTAGAAGTAAAAGTAAAAGTGGCCCATTTGAACTTTTCGAAGAAAAAAATGGTCCATCGCCTGAAAAACGTTGAGAAGCACTGATCCAGCACGACACAATGAACCAACTTTCTTAGTAGCAGACTTAGCAATGGATTCAGTACAGTCTTTCTACTTCATGTCAGCCTAGAACGTCAGTTGGAGAAGAGGAGCAACCAGTCACTCTCCTGGAGGTTAGCATCAGCCGTGCTGATGTAAGGTAGAAAGGGGTCTGTCAGAGGATTAATAGAGAACAGTTTGGGTTTTGAGGCGTTCAAATTAAATTTTTCAAATTTTTGAAATGAGCCGCCAATTTTACCTTAATGAACTGATCAAACTTACTATGTTTGTGTCATCTGCATAGATACCAAGTTGAGAGCTGATGCTATCGGGAAGGCCGTTAATGAAAATGAAAAAAAACAAAGTAAAAACAAGGGTAGAGTCCTGGGGACTCCTGAATTAGTACGAAAAGATCTAGAAGTGTGGTGGTTTAGAATAACCTTCATTTCACGATTGGATAAGAAAAACTGGATCGGCCCAAGAATTTGGCCGGAGACACCGTAACCATCCAACTTGTGAAGAAGACCTCATCAAATAATGACTTCGGTTCATTACAGTTAATTTTATTTGTTGGATAACTGCCTTTATCGAATGCGTTAACTCGAATCTCCACTTTGTCGAATGGTTAACTTCACCGAGATGTCGAAACGTAGAAAATTAAAGGGAGATAAATGTTTGCTTTTCTTAAAGTGTGCATCATTTCACAGTTACATTCGTTACAATTTCAGTTTTGCTTGATTGCAGTAATAAATGATTGATAAGTCAGTTGATTTGTGTAATGTTGAAATCAGTTAAACCTGAAGAAGTGATTCTCCTTTTGATGGAAAACGAAAAAAATACAAATGACAAAAGCGATTAAAGTATTTAAAAAATATATTTTAATATTAAAAATAAATAAAAATAATCTGAATTAATAGAGAAAACATTATTTAAATATCTCATTTATTTACCGCATGCATATTGGATATGACAAATATATATATATATATATATATATATATATATATATATATATATATATATATATATATTAAAATTAAAACTAGAAATGTAGTATTGTAGGCCATGATAAGTTTAAAATAAAACACAACAGTCGACCGGTTTCGTCCTCCCTCTCGTCAGAACTGTTAACGGGGAATTTAGATTATGAGGAAAAGAAAAAAGTCTGTCATGGGTGACATGAATGAATGGACAGGAAGGAAAAAAAAAAATATATATATATATAAAATTATACCAACCAAGCTGCTAGAATCGCATCACAGCAAGTCCAAGCTAGACCTGATGTAAGGCGACTCCAGCACCTTAAGATGGAAAAAAGAGTGCGAACTGGCCAAGACGGAAAACCAGTCCACACTGAAATCCATCGCACAAGTTGGATTCTTTATAAAATGATCCGCAATGGAAGACCCATACGTGTTACGAATGGTATCGCCCAAAGAAAATTTTTTTTGTTTAGTATTATCGCAGGTACGTGTTGTTTAATTCTCACGTCCAACCTCTGTGTCGTTCTACCTATGTAGTCGCATCCACAACTACATTTGAAATAGTAAATAACAGAGTTAATATGGTGGGGGGGGTAGAACATCTTTACACATAGATGAAAGTATGGACTTAGTTTGAAAGACAACACGAACGTTCGCTGCAAAATAACACTCAAATGAACTACATGAAATACGCTTAGCGAAGGATTCACTAATCTTACCCAACCACGGTAAACGAAGATAGACCGGACATTTACCTACTGAAGAAGGTTTGATTTTGTTGAACCTGGCGGTCTCATCTCGAATATCCGATTGAACAATGTTCAACGGATAGCCATTGTTCACAAAGATCTCAGTTAAACAACTGATTTCATGTTTCAAGGTGTCATCCGAACAGATAATTAATGCCCTATGTGTCAGGGTCCTAATCAAATTAATCTTTTGTTGTTTAGGACAAAAGGAGTCCCAACGGGTATATAGTCCTGTAAAAGTAGACTTCCTGTACACAGAGGTAATAAACAAGGAAGGAGTTCTTTGAACAAGAACATCTAAAAGGGCAATGAACCATTGACCTCCTTATCTACTGTAAATTTAAGGGAGGATGAACACCATTGAGTAGGGAAAAATTGATCCACTTCCGATTCATGGCTGAACACACAGAAAGTGTCATCAACATACCGAAAGTATACCTTGGGTCTGGCAGAACTTAAAAGGCTTTCTTCATAAAACCTCACAAAAATATTTGCCAACACAGGACCCAAAGGGGAACCCATCGCTACCCCGTCAATCTGACGATACATAATATTGTCGAAACTAAAATCAACAAACATAGTGGCAAATTTCATGAGTTCAACGAACACTTCTTCAGGTATATTCGGAGGAGTCAAATCGCTACGATATAACATATCGCTGCAAATATCAATCGTCTCCGATAAAGGAACACAAGTGAAGAGGCTACAGATGTCAAAGGAACACATAAATCCATTAGTGGCATCACAATTCCGAATGAATTTGGAAAAAGAAAATGAATCTTTAATACAAAAGGAACTGTAATGTTGCAATACTGGTTGCAACATTATAGCAAGCCACTTTGCGACTTTATGCTGTGAAGACCCAAGAATCCAACTTGTGCGATGGATTTCAGTGTGGACTGGTTTTCCGTCTTGGCCAGTTCGCACTCACTTTTCCATCTTAAGGTGCTGGAGTCGCTTTACATCAGGTCTAGGCAGCCTGCTCTTTGCAAACAGAGAGATTGTTTGCTTGGACTTGCTGTGATGCGATTCTAGCAGCTTGGTTGGTATAATTTTATATATATATATATATATTTTTTTTTTTTCCTTCCCTGTCCATTCATTCATGTCACCCATGACAGACTTTTTCTTTTCCTCATAATCTAAATTCCCCGTTAACAGTTCTGACGAGAGGGGACGAAACCGGTCGACTGTTGTGTTTTATTTTAAACTTATCATGGTCTACAATACTACATTTCTAGTTTTTAATGCCTTAATACGCTTTTTTGTACCGTTTCAAACCTATTTAAATATATATATATATATATATATATATATATATATATATATATATATATATATATATATATATATATATATGAAACTAAAAAAACAAGGATGCGTCTTCTCGCCGGATTCATTTAACCTATACAGCAGTGAGATCTTAAGAAATTGAGATCGTAATGACATAAATATATATATATATATATATATTTTTGATGACACCGTAAGAAAACAGCAACTACTTCTCAAGAAGATAGTAAAGGAAAAATAGAAGAAAACCCTAATTTCGTAGAATTCTTTTATGTAGCTTCTCCCTTCAGAACGTAACCGATCATGGCTCTTCACATCTTCCTGTTCCTTGTATCCCATAATAAGTTTTGTCTTTTTGTTATTTCTCCCAAATCCTGTTCTACTATCTATTCACTCAAGCCCATCAAGTATGTTACACGCTGCTTTTCTTCTGTTCTCTTTCCGGCAATCTGTCCTGTGGGTATTAGGCTTTCCAAGCCCTCCTTCCTCATTACCTGACCCCAGAATTTCAACTCACACTTCCTGGTCTTAATTATAAGTTTCCTTTTAGCTTCTATTTTCTCCAAAATCTCGCTATTGCTCATATGTTCGGATTATGGTATTCTCAATATCTTTCTGTAGAACCACATTTTCTTAGAATTTGATGAACATTGATATTTTTTAATTTTGAATTTCTGGCATTCATTTTTGCTTATCTCATCAAGTTTTTTTTAAATGTATTCAGTTAAATAGATTCGTTTGTTTTAACCTCATTTATTTTGAACTTATTCTTAGAGCACACAATAACATTTCCGTTTGGCATGGTTTTTGTAATTTATATCACCCAATTCTTGCATCTTAATTTCCGTTTCACTAAATATCACATCGTCTCTCTCTCAGATCGTTAGTAATCAATGTGTTTAGTAAATAAAGCACAATATCTGACGAGCAGTTCGTAAGGAAACGTCGTTAACACGTGCATCAGCGAAAGTTTCGTCTCCTTTTCATTTGTCAGGCCATAATAGTAACTTTCATTTCGTAACACTCAACAAAAATTCAATGTAGGAAAACCCCAGACACTTCTGGTATTTTTCTGGTGGCTTCTCATGGCAGTTGTCTTAACTATTAGACTATGTAAGCCACGGGTTGCAATCGAAGAAATTTAATCACATAGCTACATTCCTTCTTTGCATTTATCGTTAGTGCTTCATATAAGAAATAAATTAATATTACACTGTTCCCATAATGAGGAAAGAAGGTTTAGAGAATTTCACACTCATAGGATATAGAAAGAGAATCAGAGAAACTGTGGAGAGCCATGACTGACGATATCTTGAAGGGACAGATGATGAAAAGACTTACTACAAAAATTGTTCTACAGAAGGATGTGGAGAATACCGTGGACGGAACATGTGAGTAACAAAGAAGTTATAAAGAATATAGGAACGAATAGGTCACTTATGTTTATTCTACAATAGTTTTCACCTTGCACAAGGCTCAAGAGCCAGTCAAAGGTAGAGGTTTACAGTGTAAAAGGAAAAAGGCACAATTGATGGGTATATGTGGGAAAGATAACGATCAACCTTAGACTTGAACAGGTTGATATTGAAGGACCGCAACGCATAAAACAGGGCTTATATAAACCAAGACGTCTTGCATACATATGTTTATACATACAGGGTGCGATAAATAAATTGTCATCCAAATTACGCAAAAATGAAAATAACACTGACATCTCATTTTAACAGATATATTTAACAAAATGACACAAAAAAGATCTTGAAATACTAAAGTGTAAATTTTTTCAATAAAATCTCCATCGGTTTAAGCCACAGTCTCTAGATGCCTTCAGAATCTCCTGCAACTCTTCTAGACGGTCTCCTTGTATAAGTTGGTGAAAGCTGTCATAATCCTTGTCTTCAGTTCATCTTTGGTGTTTTTTTAAGCATTTCACCCCAAGCAAGGCGGGAAGCCACTAGGACTCAAGGGGTTACAGAAAACTTAGAGCAAGATCAGATAGGAGTGATAGAAGAAAGGATGAGGAGAAGGGTCGTGGATAGATTAAGGCAACTGGAGATGTTGATTGACATTACATTTGAATAGCTGGAGATTATAGCTCTCAGGGAAACTAGAATAGTGTAGGGAGTTCCATAGGCGAGAGGTGCAAGACATGAAGCTATTGGAGTAGAAGAGACGGCTACATTTACAAAGAGTTTTGTTGGTCTTTCACTCAACTGCGACCCACACATAATAATCAAGAGGGTTGCAATCTGTCTATCTTTGTTCTGCTTGGATATTAGTTGCTGTTCAAAATATAAAATGGATGTATCGATATAGACATACATACATATATCTACATATATATAAATACAGGGTGCGATGGATAAATTGTCATCTAAATTACATAAAAATGAAAATAACACTGACATCTCATTATAACAGATATATTTACCAAAATTGCACAAAATTATCTTGAAATACTAAAGAGTAAATTTATTCCATAAAATCACCATTAGTTCCAACCATACCCTCCAGACCACTTCAGAATCTTGTCCAACTCTTCTGGACAGTCTCCTTGTTTAAGTTGTTGAATGCTGCCATAATCATTGTCTTCAATTCATCTTTGGTGCTAAAAATAGTTTTTTTTTTGTCTCTTGCTCAGTTGTGTCCCACATATAATAATTAAGGAGGTTGCAGTCTGGGGAGTTAGATGGCCAGATGTAAGACGTGATGTGGTTGCAGAAATTGTCTGACAGCTATGTATGTCATGGGTCAGAGTCTTGTTGTGAAAGATACTGTCTTCCAGCAGCCACCCTCTTGATCCAGAGTAGCACTACCACCTGAAGTCACTTGATGTATGCCTCCGTGTTGAGTCTGAGGTCCTCATTAAAAGATTCGCAAGTTCCAAACACTCTGAAATGTTCGTATTGGAGCTTCTGGTGCGAATGCCAAACAGTACAGCACGCTGTTCCGAAATTTATGTCGGGGTGACTTGCGTCATTGGGCTCTTTTTCTCACAGACAGTGCCCACCTTACGCTATCATACAGTGTAGTCGACAAAATTAAAAACAAATAACGCGCATGCGCGAAATTAAAAATATAAAATGGCGACGAATAACCCATTGCACCCTGTAAATATGGGAGTCGGAAAAAATCTCATCCCGAGAAATTACATATGAAAAATAAAAAAATTAAAACATTTATTTGATCAGATTTTGGCAAGTTAAGCCGAGAATATTTCAGAAACTATTCGTATAAGTGTACAGTCCTTATTTTTCTTATATTAAATGTGAGTGAGTGGAGACCTTTGTGTGTGGCTGTGTGCGTCTTCGTGCATGTGTGTCCTGGCTGATTCACCAAACAACTCAAAAGAAGACATTATTGAAAACAAGCCAAGAATAGTCTGGCTGTAAATTTCTCCAGTGTCTAGACGCTGTCCTGATCGAATATCGATGTTTTCGTCCATTAAAGACGGCAAAATTCTACAGGATGGGAGACACGGACACATTTACCATCACGACAACGTTTAATGGCAACAGATATCTTTTCAGAGTGTCTTTTGCTTCTGCAGACGATTTTGTAGACAAGGCTTATTTCTTTTTATTCATTTACGTGCCTTTTTTTTCAGACATTCTTTCTTATTTTTATTGTTTTTCATTCGTCTTCCCGTCATATTATATATTTTTCTGTCTTTCGTTTACTGTTTTTCCAGTCACCCTCCCTTCATATTACAGTACTTTCTTTCTTTCTTTCTTTTTTACTGTTTTTATTCACTCTCTCTTCATATCAATGTGTTTTTTTCTTTCTTTCTGTCTTTTAATGTTTTTCATTCACCCTTCTTTACATCACTGTGCTTTTGTTTCTTTCTTTTAGTCTTTTTTCATTCACCCTCACTTCTCAGCAATATGCTTTTCTTTCTTTCTTTCTTTCTTTCTTTCTTTCTTTCTTTCTTTTAGTGTTTTTTCAGCACCCTTCCTTCATCAATGTGCTTTACTGTCTTTCTTTCTTTAACAGTTTTTCATCACCCTCCCTTCACATCACTATCCTTTTCTTTCTTTTTCCTTTCCCTTTTTTTTTCATTCGCTCTCCTTTCACATCACTGTGCTTTACTTTTTCTCTTCTTTTTCTTTCTTTTCCTCTTTCTTTCTTTCTTTCTTTCTTTCTTTCTTTCTTTCTTTCTTTCTTTCTCATTGTGCGTTCCTCCCTAAAAGTCTTCCTATCTTTCTTTTCATATTTTGTCATCGTTTCATTTCTTCTCCCTTCATTTAACATATTTTCGTTTCATTCGTTCTGCTTTCATTTTTCTTTTCTTTCCTTTTCTTTAATATGCCATTTCTACATTTTCTCATTTTAAATGCTTAATTTGTCCCCTTCTTTTTCTTATTTTTCTTTCTTTATTTTTCTCCCTCATTCATTTTTCTCTAAAGCGTTTTTATTATTTATTTTCCTTCTTTTATTCCATTTGAATTATATAAGATCTTTTTTTCGTTTTACTTTACTTTGATTTTATTTATTCTTTGAATATTTTTTCTTACTTTTTCACACATTTTTCATTTTTCGTGACATTTTCTTCTTTTTTATTTTTCTTTCATTATTCTCCTTTCAACATCTTTGTATTTTCTCTTTACTTTCATTCACCCCTTATTGCATTTTTCCTTCTTTTCAATAATTTTTCTCTTTGTTCATTATTCTTTAAAATATATTTCCTTTTTCTTTTTTTTTTAATCTTTGGATCTTTCTTTCTTTCTTTTACTGCTTTTCATTTACCTTTTCATATTTTTTCTTTGTTTTTTTTTTTCATTTTCCTTTTATTTATTTTCTTTGAATCTTTCTTTATTTCTTCATCCATTTTATTCTTCATCCATTTTATTCTTCATCCATTTTCACTTTTTTTTATTTTCTATTCCTTTCACAATATTATTTTTATATTCCTCCTTCTCAATAATATTTTCTTCTACATTTAACATATTGTTTCTGATTTGGCGCTTTATTCTTCCGTTTCAGATTTTTGTCTTCTTTCTTTTCTTTCTGATTTCTTACTTTGTTTAATTTCATTCACGTTTTCATTCATTTCTTCTTCTTTCCTTTGTTTTCTTTCTCTTTCTTTCTTCCTCGCCTTTAACTTCCACCTCATTTTTCTTTCATCTTTCTTTAGTTTTACAACTCCTTTACTTTCTTCTTTCTTCCTCACCTTATTTTCCTTCCCCTTTTCTCTAATTTTTATTCATTCCTTTGTTTTCCGTCTCTTTTACTTTCTTCTTTCTTCCTTTGTACTCCCTCGCCTTTTCTGTCATCTTCCTTTGTCGCTTTGTTTTTCTTTCTCCTTGTTTTCATCTTTCTTCTTTCTCCTGTTCTCCATTATTTCCGCCATCTTACTTCATTCCTTTGTTATCTTTCCTTTCCTTCATTTCTTCATTTGTTTTCCTGCTCACTTCCGGTCGTCTTTCTCTCTTATTTGGTTTACCTCTTTTTATTTTCTTTCGATATTTTTTTTATTACTGTTTTCATTATTTCTTTTTTTTGCAATCCTTCATCTTCTAACATTTATTCTATTTCAAGGTTTAAGTCTTTCTGAGTATCCTTGTCTTTATCGATCAATCCTTCTTTCAGAGTCAATTTATATCTATACAATATCGATCTGAGCCACTGAAATTTATGGTGATTTTCATGAGAATCATTCAACAGTATGTCAACATCATCTTCACTGTTTTCCATACCCCAAAATTAGCTGTAAACAAGTTACACTCCCAGAAACCCGCACGCATATATAACCATTTTTGTCTATATATATATATATATATATATATATATATATAATCAATTCACCTCACAGAAGGGGCAGCTTGGAGTAAAAGAGATTGAAAAAAGTTAGATTTTAGAAGGAACTGGAGAAATCCAATCTTAAACAGGGAAAAGGGGGTAAAAATATATTCCAAACGATCATGGAAATGTGTGAACTGAACGATTAGTGAATCTGTCTACTCCTAATATATATATATATATATATATATATATATATATATATATATATATATATATATATATATATATATATATATATTATATCTGTATATATATATATATATATATATATATATATATAGTAGAGCCCGGTTGCCTGGGGATATAACAGTAAGAGATAGATCAAGTATCGACCATCATAAAAATAAAATTGACAAAGATTATTGTTTAAGGTTGATGGACACGCATGTCTTAATTAGTTTTTATTTATTTATTTTTTTTTTTTACGAACTGGTCAAACCCAAACTCAAACAAAAACTTTGTTTTCAATCTTTATGAGTCTACCGATTGAATAGAATTTTACAATTTTATTATAAACAATTGTCTTGTCAATGGAATTTTTAAAGCATTCTGAATGTAAAAATAAAGAAAAAAAACTGTGCAAGACAATAAGAAACACTATCTGCCAAAAAAAGTGAAGTTTTGTTGAAATCGGTTCAAAAATGTAGGAAATCCCATCCCATATATAAACGAACACACACACACACACACACCCTGGGTTTTATAATAAGTATAACTCGATATGTGTTGTCCTCCTTTCATTCTCAAAACAGTAATGCCTCTTAATCGTGTTTTCAAATTGATTTCGTGCAAAAACAATTGTGTTTTTCCCATTTTTGGCACTGTCAGAACCACCGCAAGGTAATTTTACGTAGTCCTGTGAAGTTTTGTTGAAATCGGTTAAAAAATGTAAGAAATCCGATCCAATATATAAACGAACAGACACACACACACAACCTGGGTTTTATAATAAAAACTGAAACTAAAATTTCCAATTCAATTCTAGAAAAGTACATAGTTCTGTTTCATTTTCGCTTGAAATGAGGTACTTTAATTTCTACAATTGAATTGGAAGTTTTTAGCTTCTATTTTTGAAACATGGTAATTCCTGTGTAGCGATGGAATCATATTTAAAAAAATATAATTATAATCTAGGTTCTACTTGTGTATCGAGTACTGCTTTTTAAAACTAAAATAAAAAATACTAAAGAACTTCAGATCATCAATCTAACGGTTCTTTCCTATTTTATCAATATATTTATATATATATATATATATATATATATATATATATATATATATATATATATATATTCAGAAAAAAGTCGTACATTACAGATGTAGTAACTGAATTAATCGATAGGGCATCCTCAGTGAATTTGCGTTCAGATTTTTCTAGTGTTCACCTTTCATATTCTCACAATGTTGGATACTTTGTAACAAAATTATTTAAAATATAAACAAATTAAAAAAAGAAACAAAATGAAATTTTCAAGGCTATACAGCTAAACATATATTTCTTAAAAAAAAAATTAAAATTAAAAAGACTATATATATATATATATATATATATATATATATATATATATATATATATATATATATATATATATATAGATAGATAGATAGGTAGATATGTACGTATATATGTATGTATTTATCACAATTTTCTGCTGGGTGCAGAATTTTATTATAGCAATAAAAGGTTAGATTTATTTTACTTTGGATGTTTAAAAAAAAATCTAAAAAATAAAATGTGGACAGCCGTCCAGTTCCGCCCTCACTCAACAGAGTTGGGTTGAGGGATTTTATATTGCAATAAAACGAAAACATGAAAAAAAAAACGACATGTAATGCTAATGAAGGCGGAATACAATCTAAACTGAAATCACGTTAAGTTTAACAGACACTCCCTCTGTTTACAGAGGGAGGGCTGTATCTAAATTATTTCAAACGCCTTTATCTCTAATATAGATCGAGCACGACTCATGATGGTTAACGAACGGGTCAATGATAAGTTAGCAGCATAATTTGTTTTTTTAAGTAAGATGCTTCGTAATATGTTGTTCAGAATGTCCTTTAGTTGGAATGTTTTATATTTTATTTTTATTACAATATATAATCCCTCATATATTATCATAAATAATGTGAAATTGAACAGGTGTAATTCATATGTTGACTTACACAATGCATATTAGTTCATATGATTGCACTACAGGTTTTCATGAAACAACGTTTGGTATTTGGGCGAAACCTTATTACTATCGTAAAAATTGCAAACAATAAAATGCTTGAAGTAATACTAAAAAAGAACCAATAGAAAAGTTAACAAATTTCAAAGTTGAAAGAAAATGACCATAATATTTATATCCACAAACGGTCTATCCTTGAAATTGACTATTATTCCTCAAATTAATATTGGAGATAGAAAAATCAAACAAGTACAACAATTTAAATAACTTAAGAAGTGTTTTAACATATGGCCGAATGTGTGATACTGAAATCAAAGGCACATTGAGACAGATACCTTTGAAAAGCTAAGCAAAATATTAAGGAACAGAAAAATTTCGTGAAAAATAAAGAAATGAGTACTAATGTCCTATCAAAGGGTTAATACTGGGCAATTTCCTCACGGATGATGTGACTTGAAGCAACGGAAATTTGGTTCCCTAGAAGGATTCTGAGAATGCCATCGACCGAATATGTGAGCAATTACAAAGTTTGAGAGAAAATGGAAACAAAAAGGAAACTATGATGAACATCCGGAAGAGACTGTTTAAATCTTTAAGGTACATCATGAGGAAAGAGGGCTTGGAAGATTTGACACTTACAGGAAAGATTGAAGTTATGATGGACAGAGGCAAATAACGTATAACCTTCATAGCGAACTAGATTAAAGAAATGTGAAAACAGGGTTTGGGAAAAGCATCAAAAAGACAAAATATATTAAGAGCTACAAATGAGAGGAAATTTATTGAGAGCTACAAATGATAGGAAGCTTTTCAATATATCAACTAATACACGGACGAAACAATAACAATCAACGTCTAACTCGTGTATACGAGACGCGGAAGCGAAAATCGCATCGCAGCTCGTGACGTCCCACATGTCCTGATGAAACACCGGATGCGGGGATGGTGTAATGGATAACGGCTCGAAATTGGAAATTCCAATGGGTGTCGTTATATTCTCTTACCCTCAGAAAATGTATGAATCTGCCTCTTCTACCCCAATTTTGGGTTAATTAGTAAGAATTGTAACACTACATCATTACTTAAAAAACTATGGGTTAATTAGTATGACATGTATCAGTAAGTATTTATTATCTAAAAGGATTCTTACAATCTAAATATAGTTGTTGGTTTTAGATAACTGCAAGCCGTACAAAAAATAAACCAATCAAACGATAGGAAGTTGTGAAGCGCCATGATTACTAATGTCCTGGAAGAACTCGGCACAAAGAAGAAGAACATGAAGAAGAAGAAAAACAAACTGAAAAAAAAAACCTGCAGTCTCTTTGATGTTACTACGTGTAGAGAGTTTCCAACCGAG